AAAAAAAAAAAAAAAAAAAAAAAAAAGAAGTTATGATTTGGTTTGACACACAGGGTAAAATCAAATAAGGAAAGGTAATATTGCCTAGAAGAAAATTGGCCAAAGAAAATAATGGAAAAACAAAGTCCATAATATGAAAACATACTCAGTTTTTCTGGTAGTTAAAGAAATGCATATGAAACGAATAAGGAGAGAAGTATTTTTAATTTATCTGCATGAGGACAGCTTATGCTACTAATAAAAGTATGTGTTAAGTTCTGCCACCTGCCTTGCAAGTGCAAGGTCCTGAGTTTGTTCCCTGGTACAAAGAGAAAACAAAAAACAAAAACAACAAAGTATGTGTTAAATAGAATAATTCTAGACATAATTTGATAGTGATTAGTAATTTTAATTCTCTTGATGAACATTGACCTACAAATTCTGTTACAAGGTATTCTAAGAAATTAAGAGAAAGTATTCACAAAGATGTGCACATAAATATACTTGATTGCAGGAGTTCAGAAATCCCATAATAATAATGTCCAACTGTAAGTAATTGGTTAAATTATATAGTACATCACTAAAATAAAAATAGGATTTTTTCTTTCAAATATCAATGGAACATAATTTTATGAAAAAAACAAATGTTACAAACTATACTGACTATTCCATTTAATATAAATTATCATTAAGCACATAGATTTTGTTGAGAGTTATTAATTCCTCTGTTAAGTAAGAGGTGAGGGATTTGTTTTCTAGGTATGGGTTGACAGTAACAAAGAAGGCGCGGAGGAGCCAGTGTTTCCATGTAGGTGGTGTACATATCCTATAGGTATCTTACACTTTTGAAAATAATTTAAGGATTTTAAGGAATAATACTGGGTACTATTAGAGGTTTACAGATACTTCAGTACTGAAATAATATGAAAAGTTAATGTATTTTAAATCAGCAATTCTTTTTCTTTTTCTTTTTCTTTTAGTTACAAATACTTTCCAAGACTGGATCTTAAACTTTTTGACAGACCACAGGAGTTGAAACTCTGTTTTAGTAGACACCCTACTGGGAACAGCATTACAAACAGCCCGGCTCTCATGGCTAAAAGAACCAAACAGGTCAGAGATGCTTTATCTAATACATGTTAATTTAAAGTGTAAAATATATGTATGTGCTTTGAGTTCATATTATGCATTCATCACCCTCTGCAACTGCTTGAATACCCATTTTGATTGTTCCAGATTTTAACTAGATTTCTTACATCCCTCCTTAAAATATTAAGGGTGAATTTTTTAAATGCGGATGTTTATGCTCTAAGGAATCTTTGGGAACTAAATATAATTTTTAAGAACTTTATTGGGATATAATTCTCATACTATAAATTTACCCATTTAAAGTATACATTGGTATATCCAGAGGGATGTTCAACCTCTACTACAGTTCAATTAATTAATTATTAATTAATTTATTTATATTTTTCCTTGAGACAGGGTGTTGCTATGTAGTCCAGGCTGGCCTTGAACTCACTGTATAGCCCAGGTTGGTCTCGAACTCATGGCAATCCTGCCTCAGCCTCCCAGGTGCTGGGATTATAGGTGTGTGCCGTCACGCCTGACACCACAGTTAATTTTAGAACATTTTTCATCACCCAGAAATGAAGCCCAAATTCTTTGCCCATGAATCCCCCTAAATTCTGTCCCTTACAGCCCTAGACAACTGGTAATTTTTCTCTTTTTAATCTCTACAGATTTATCTGTTCTAGGCATTTTGTAAATAGAATTGTACAATATGTGTTGCGATTGGCTTCTTTCACTTAGTGTAATGTTTTCAAGGTTCATCCACTTTATGGCTGAATAATATTCCATTATGTGGATATACCACAGTTTCTTTATTTATAGGCATGTAGGTGATCCCTACATTTTGGCTGCTATGAATAGTGCTGCTGTGGACATTTGTGCATAAGTGTTTGTGTGGGTTTATGTTGTCATTTCTGTTAGTATCTGTCTGGGAGTAGAATCACAGTGTCATGTGGAAAGTCTGTTGTCCACTGACTGGCTGCACCAATAGCATATGAGAGTTAATGGTTCACAGTATCCTTGTCAGTTCTTATGCTCTGTCTTTTTTATTATAGCCAACTGGTGAGTATAAGGTGGTGTTGGCATTTTTCTGGTGGCTAATGTAAAAATACACTTTATATCCCAGTCGTTACATCTTAAAAGGAGATAACAGTATAACCTATAGTCCTGCTTTATTACTGTATCTGATTTAGGCAGAAAGAATTAACCGTGATTAAGTTTCTATAAAAATTAAACATCTTTTTATATGCACACTGACATTTTGAGGTACTTCAGAATGTGGAATATTTCAGAATGAAAACTTTCGTTTGGTTTTACTAATTCTTGGGTAGTCTCCTAAATCCTAGAGGAACCTGAAATATTCTTTAATTTCATACAGTTCATGTTTTTTTAAGGAGTTTCAAGGGGAAACTAAAGAATTTAAAAAACGAACCCATTTAATGAAGGCAGTTTTTCAAAATAGGATAATTACACCACTCAGCCTCTAAATCGCATTTTTGGCAGATTTTTTTTTCATTTTAATAGTTTTTAATACGGCTGTACGAAAGATTACTTTGTCCTGCATTTTCTGACTTGTTTCTTTCTTTTATTTGTCCTTTTCCTTTTCTGCCTGGCAAAATCTGGGTTTCTGTTGAGGATCTTTTGCTTTCATTGTTGAGTTTTAGCATTGAGGTAACCACCATGCCTTGGGTGAGTGTGCACTGGACAGTGCTGCTGTTGGTCCTTCCTGCTGCACCGTGCAGTGGAGCCTGGACCACTTTGCAGTCTGCTGACCTGTATCTTGGACTCGTTCACCTAAGCTTTATTGTCTCTCTTAGATGGGCCTAGATCACACACTGCACTTCTGTCTCAGCTTTTTGGGAAAAGGGGAAGGCATAATCTTCCTGCACATGTGAGACGATGCATTGAAATGTTTTTTACAGTTCTTGAAGTCACAAGGGGATTGAACTCCATTCTGGCTGCCGTTGTGCCAGTGATGGCTGCACAAGACCCCCTCCCCCGGCTAGCTGGAAAGAAAAGAACCTTGGATCTCGGAAAACAAGGGCGTGTAGTTTCAAGTGTGTCTTCACATCTCTTAGAGTTAGAAAAGAAAGTGAATATACCAGTACTTTTTAAATGAAAACTACATTCTAGTAGAGAAACCTGTACTGCAAGGCATACAATACAGTTCTCGCATACTAAGAGTATACGTTTCTCAGAGTATGTAGTTTGATAAATCATCAGCAGAGGATTTTGATATCTAATCTCTTCCACCTCAGTTACAATGAAATAAAAAAGAAAGCATACTATCAAAGTATTATGAAGTCTTTGATCATTCTGAGCCTCTGACCACAAAGGAGTAAGTCTAAAAGGAATTAGTGAGAGAATTAACACAGGACTATGGCTGGGAAGAGAGGGAGGGGATGATACTTAGAGTGAAAATCTTGGCAGGCAGTATCCTAGGACATCTTAAGCTTCAGCAGGGAGAAGAGTAAGACGAATATTGCTTTTCAAGATAAGGATAGAAAAAAGACTGAACAATAAATGAATTTGGAGTGTGTGGTTTTAGCTGTCCTTTTATCTATTAAATATGAATACCTTCTGTATGAAGAGAATCTTATTAACCATTATATAATTATTTGTGATATTTACTCTTAAAGAAATTTTGGTCTCTTAGAAGATAGATGCTGGTCAACAGGTAGTTGCAGAAAAGTATAAAGTAGTATTTCAGTAAATAAATGTTTAGGGAACCATGTAGCACTACATAGGAAGATACTTGTAAAACAAATGCTTGATTTTAGGGTAAAATCTTACCTTAATTTTTTCTTTCCCTTTCCCTTCCCCAGCCCTAATCAGTTGTATTAGATACTATAATATTGTTATTTATTCTTTTCTAGGAGATAAAAACAGCTCATAAATTGGCGAAGAGATGTTATGTAAATCCACCACAGTGGGCGAAGTGCCTGTTCAGTCACTGTTACAGTTTATGGTTCATCTGTCTCCCAGCCTATGTTAGGGTTTCTCACCCTAAGGTCAGAGCGCTTCAGCAGGCGTATGACATACTTCTGAAGATGCGGAAAGCATGTGTGGACCCACTAGACGAGGCAAGTCAAAGGGCTTGAGTAACTGCTGCGAGTATTAATTTGTACTTTTAAGAAAATTTAGGTCTTCGTTGCTTTAAAGTGTGCTTGATGTTTTCATTAATCAGGAGAGGTGCTCTTTTGTGGAGCTGTTTTATATTGTTTATCTTAAAATATATTTATTAAAAAATTCCTGCTTTAGTATAAAGCAAAGACCTCCCCACTTAGGCCAGATTGTTTGCCTGATGAATAGAATATTTTATTCTTTTTTGTGGGGGTTGGGTACCAGAGCACGAACTCAGGGCCTTGTGCTTGCAAGACAGGCGATGGACCCACTGAGCTAAATCCCTGGCCCAGAGTATTTTATTCTTAATATAACTTTATTAAGGAACAGGTTGTAAGTAAACGTTTTGCAAGTGGTTTTCATTTTACGGCCAGTGTCCTAAGGAGAGTTGTTTAGCCTATCTGTGTTTCAGATTAGTCTCCTGAGCATGTAGCTTCTAGTTTCTCAACTTTGGCACTATTGACGTTTGGCCCACACAACTAATATTGGAGGCCCAACCTGTAGATTGTGGAATGTTTAGCAGTATCCCTGGCCACCCCAGGAGATGCCAGTAATGCCTCTTCTTCCTTTATAGGTCAGGATAGTCAAAAGTATATTACCACCAAATGTCCTCTGGATAACTAAATTGCCCCTGGTGACCTACTGGTGTAGGTAACAGTCACTGGTACCTTCCTCATTCGACAGGTTAAGCTAAATCAGTCACAGAAGGTTAAATATTACCCGGTGTGTCTTATATGAGAAACCCAAATACAATCTAAAGAGCAAAAGAAAAGAGAAATGGTAGGAAACAGGGAAGTAGACTTTGTGGAGAGAGAAAATGCATCTGGGGCAGGGGAGGGGGTGTAAAAGTAATTATTGCTGTCTTACGTGTTCCCAAGAAGAATGTAATTATTAAGGATAGTAAATACACTAATGATTTCTTTTTAAATTTCGAAGGTTAAATAAGCCAGTATACATACTGTACCTTGCTCATGGAGAGCACTCAATGAATGATATGCTAGACATTTTCATGCATTCTCTCTGAAGCCTCAGAAATCATCCTAAGAGGTAGATACTGTTATTATCCATTTAGCAGTGAGGAAACTGAGGCACTTATTTAACTTTTCTCTTTGGTGCTAACTATAAATAATTCTGGTACCAGATTAAGATTTAAAATGAAAAATCTCTGCTAATAATGTTACAATGTATTTTTTCTTCATTCTTTTTAAGTTATGTGTTTACAAATCCAGTTTGTTATACAGACATTCTAGAGCTCCTGGCCTTAATTCTTTTGGCATACAGTATATAGCATGGTGATTGGGGAGAGAGCTGTTTTAATCATACTTGGTTTTACAAATGAATTCTTTCTCAAGTTATGGGTAATAACAGTTATCCTCTGTGTAGACTTATTTATTCAAACTATAATGATCTCATAGTTCTTTTATGAAATAATAATGCTGGTAAACAGATTTTAAAAATAATTTTCTAAGATGCTCAAACTAGAATAAAAGTTAAAATAGTACCTAATAATTTTATAAAAAGAATTGAAGAAAGTCTTCAAAAAAATCTAAAGTCACAGACCACTGTGTTATAATGCTTTGATATTATTTCTTGTTAGGTGTGCTATCGAGTAGTAATGCAACTTTGTGGACTCTGGGGTCATCCTGTTTTAGCAGTGAGAGTCTTATTTGAAATGAAAACTGCTAAGATAAAGCCAAATGCTATTACTTACGGTTATTATAATAAGGTAAGTAGGATTGACATTAGGAATATATATGTGCAGCTTATTAAGGATGATAATTTTTTATAAAATTGTAAACATAAACCCACACTTCAGTACTCAGGTAGTTGAATTACAACACTGTTCCTTACCCTAAACCTAATCCTAACAATAACCATAGTACCCATACTCCATTACTCAGGTACTCGAATTCCAACACTATCCCTAGAACTAAACCTACCCTAACCCTAACTCTAACACTAACCATAATACCCACACTCCAATACTCAGGTAATTGAATTCCAACCTACCCCTAACCCTGACTGTCACAGAAGTTTTTCTTTGAAGAAATTTTGAGGGACATAATTTTTTTTCTCCCTTAGTTGACAAATAAAAATTGTCTGGATTGCCAGATGTTTTCTGGAACATATGTACAACACCTGTAATCCTAGTAGTCTACAAGTCTGAGAATTGAAAGTTCAAGCCCAGTCTGGAAAATTTACTAAGTGAGATCCTATTTTATTTTTTTATTTTTTGAGACCCTATTAAAAAACAAAACAAAACAGTAAGTCTGCATTAAATCTCAGTGTGAGGTCTGGGATTTAACTCAGTGGTTCCACCACATGCCTTACAAGTGCAAGGACCCAAGTTCGATTCCCAGTACAAAAAAAAACAAAAGAAACAAACCTCAGTGTGAAGGCCTAGATTTAGCTCTCCATACTGAAATCTTAAAAAAAAAAAAAAAGGAAAAGAAAACAAATATAAACCAGGTGTGGTGGAGCATGTCTGTAATCCCAGCACACAGGAGGCAAAAGCAGGAGGATCACAAATTCAAGGTGAGACTTAACTACATATCAAGAACCTATCTCAAACAAAAAAACCAAAACAAATGGGTAATGTACAGCATGATGCTTTGAAACACGTATACAGTGATACCTCGGTGTATGAACCCAGTTTGTTTGTGATTTGGGGAAGACAGCTGTGTTTGTGTTTGCGGAGAAGAAGGCCATGGTTGAGTTGTTACCAGCGTGGGGTTTGTGAATGGAAGCAAACTATTGCCAAACCCTTTTGTTTGTGAACCAGATTGTTAGCAAACAGAAGCATTTGTAAACCAAGGTGTTATTGTACATTGTGGAATGGTTCAGTCAAGCTGATTAATAAATGTTTTCTCACTTTTTTTTTTTGGTGAGAATGCTTAAATTCTATCTTACTGATTTTCAAAGTATAATACATTGTAATTAACTGTAGTCTTCCTGTTATAAAATAGATCTCTTGAATTTATTTCTCATAATTAATTGAAATTTTATATCCTTTGACTAACGTCTTCTCAAAACCCCAACCCAAGCCTCTATAAACACCATTTTTTTCTGTGAGTTCATTTTCTTTAGATTCTGTGTTTAGGTGAGATCATGCAGCATTTGCCATTTTCTGTGCAGCTTTTTTCACTTAGCATAATGTCCTCCTGGTCCATCCATGTTTGAAGCTGAATAGTCCTCCCCTTGCCCCTCTCTTCTCCCTGAACTCAAACTTTCAATCCTCCTGCATCAGCCTCCAGATTAGCCTGGATTATAGGTGTGCACAGTCATTCCCAGTTGTGCTACATTTTCTTTATCCAGTCACCATGGATAACACCCCCTGATTCTGTATCTTGACTGTTGTGAATAATGCTGCAGTGAATGTGACAGTGCAGAGATCTGTTTGAGATACTGATTTCATTTCCTTTGAATATGTGTTGATTGCTATATCACATGGTAGTGTAATTTTAATATTTTGAGGACCCTCCATAGTGATTTCTGTAATTGCTGTACCAGTGGTGACAGACCAGTGGCACGGGTATTGAGCCAGCTGTTCGGTGTCATTGAAAGCTCTGAAAGGCTCTCTAACCCTGGGCTGCACTTACATCCGCTTGACCAAGTGTTCAAGGGTTCCCTTTTCTCCATATCCTCACCAACACCTGTTATCGTCCTTTTTTATAGCACCTATTGTGACAGATGTGAAGGGACATTGAGGTTTTGCATCTCTGATGATTGGCGAAACAGAGCGTTTTCCCATCTACCAGGTGGCTGGTATAATTCTTTGTATGTCTGTGTATTGACTCTATTACTGATTTTTGAAGGAAGGCTTGAGATACTAATAGCCACCACCAGAAAGAAAATCATTATTATTATATTATTTTTAAATTAAATATTTATTATTATATTATTTTTTAAATTAAATACTCCTAGTAAATATTACTTTTTACCTTTATTTTACCTTTAGGTAGTTTTGGAGAGCCCATGGCCTACAAGCACTCGTAGTGGTATTTTCTTGTGGACGAAGGTGCGGAATGTGGTACGTGGCCTGGCCCAATTTAGGCAGCCGCTTAAAAGGACCATACAGAAGTCACCGGTCTCTTCAACATCAGGTAATGCATATGACTGGAAGGATAGTTTCTCTTTGAACCATAGCTTTATAGGGATAGGAAGTTTTAATTATATAAAGTAGAAAACATAAATATAAATAAAAACAAATAAAAATAAATGAAATTCTCATTCATATTTTCATATACAACTATGACAGGTTATCATAGTCCAAAATTATTACTGTTGTTAAAACTTGTAGAGATTTACAAAGTGTTCTACATGTAAGGGAGCTGTAGGTTCCTGTTCACGTTCAGATTATCAGCTTGTGACGAGCTGTCGTCCTTCCCTTTAGCTCCTCAGCAGGCTGCAGGTGGAAGCGATGGGGACACAGCAAGCCACGGTAGCATGGATAGCTCCAACGATGCTAACAGCGGGGAGCACCCGCTCTTCACCAGAGACCTGGTCAGGCTCGATTCCATGGGCAATCACTGTAGCACAGGTACTGAAAGCTGCATTCTACTAACCCTTCAGTTACTGTCATGCTCTGTCTTTCCTTTTTGTTTTCCAAAAGCTTTTACCCTCCTTGAGTTTGTGCAATATGAAATACTTTTAGAGTAGCATGTATTAATACGGGAAGAATTACACCGTAGTACTTTTCTTTCTGATAGTAAGAGATGAACTTGGGAGCACTGTGCACAGTGCTCTAGCATGGTGCTTCTTTGTATTTATTTGTCATCAGTTTGTGAAAGTAGATGATAGTGAATTTGAGCATTATGGCACAACTCACAAATCTTGTTTTCATTAAATGGAAAATACCCCTTTGACATTGAGTTATGAATATTAAAGAGGGAAGAAAATAAGTCACACAACATGAGAAAGAAGTATTCTGTTATTTTAAAGGTCATACTGTACATGTATTTTAAAATCTCACATGCTACGTGTATAGACATAAGCATGGGCATAACCTCTGTCCTCTGAAGTTGGAAATAAGTGTAATTGAAGGAGAACATTGGGCAGATGTATGTGTGTTGCACATTCTTCTGTTTGTGTTGTTTTGTTTTCATTGTCATTAAAATCGCAAGTCTTCCTTTAAAGAGAATTCTAATTCCTGTGCTTCGTCTGAAGGACTTGTCTCAATGACTGAAGTTTCCTTTTCTCTGCTCTTTGTCGCTCTGCTTTTGCTCTGTGCTGTCTCTGGGTGCTGCATTTGTCCTTGGCTGTCATGGTGTGGGTGCAGACAGACTTTTATGCCGTGAAGCTGTGGAAACACGTGTGCATTAATTCTGCCTTTGAATAGTAACCATTTCAGGTAATTTCCCATTTATTAGGTTAAATTTTGCTGGCATACAAGGGTGGGGAAAGATATTTTGTTTTAATTTAAATATTAAGTATTTTTACAGGTGGGAAACAGTTTTTCACTTAATCTTGCCCTTTTTTCTTCCTTGGTAATTGTACATAGTCTTTTAAAAATTCTTATTTTTATCAATATGTATTTTCAGTACATAATGATTGCATTCATTGGGGGGGTTGTGTACATAGCACATTAATTCTTTTTTATCATCTTCCCCTCTCCTCCTCCTCCCCTCCCTCCATCTCAAAGTCCCCTTCCTTCCCTTTTGCAGAAAGTCTGACTCCCTGTCATATGTAGTGTTCAATGAGAATACCCAGCTAACATTCTGTGGTCAGTTTGCAGAACATATTTATATTTGAAAATGTGAAAAAAAATGTGCCCTGCTATAATTCTTATTGTGAGGTTGGTTTTAACATAATTTCTTCATGTAATGTTATAGGCACTAAATAATTCATTATTCCAGCTGTTGATGTACTCATTGCTTTCTAAAATTGTTCTGCTGAATTTTTGTGTTTAAAAACTACCTTCCCATAATGATAGGCCTATGTGTAAATCATTGAAGTCAACATAACTTTATAGCTTTCAATCTTGTTTATAATTTACTTTTAAAAATTTCATTCATCTTGTAAATAAGATTATGGGATTTTCATTTTAGCTTTTCATAATGCTTTCATAAGTTTTCATAATGCTTTAGAAAAAATGGGCTTCGTGTATAAAAAAAAAAAGAAAGTAATTTTGTGGTATGAAACCACTTTACCCTGAATAATGATATAAAACTCCCTTGACTCTTATTCTTCCATATTTTTAAGTTTCTTTTTAGTCCCTCCCTGGGTGGGGAGGTGTCTTAATAAGTTTTCCTGAACCCCAAGTCTTTCCACTGTGGCCTCCCAAGTAGCTGGGACCCCAGACACACACCACTGCTTCTGGCTTTAGCAGCATCACACAGTTGTGCCCAGATACTCATGTCACAGTGATCATCAGTCTCTATAGGGTCACAGCACTGGTACTTTTGGGGGGTACCGGGGCTTGAAATCAGGACCTTGTGCTTTTGTGCAGGCGGTAGAACCACTCAGCTAAATCCCTGGCCCACACTGGTACTTTTTGAAAGCCTTATGGCCCAGATGTTTAGCTTGCTCATTTCTTTAAGGATTATCTTGTGGAATCTTTCCACTTGCTACACAGTGCTGATTACCCAGCTTATTGAGAAATATCTGGATTTAGTAATTTACTCTGTTCCTAATCTGTTGTCCATTTCCTGGCACTGTGTGCTATACCAAACTTGCTGAGAAGGCCAATAAGAAAACAACTGAAGGTAGTCAGTCATTCTAAATAGAAATATTTAGAGACATTTAATTCTTTTGTTACATGATAAACACAAAGCCTAGGTGGCAGTGCAGTAAGTTGTAGAAAACAGAAGAAGGTACTGCACATTTTGTGTCTTTCATTCATAACCTTATAACTGTTTTTTTAATTATAAAACTTTTCATAACCAAAACAGATTTTTCAGAAATCTTATTTTGAAATAACTTCAAGCTATGAATTGAGTATCACCGTCTAGACAAAGACCTTATCCAGCATTGGATAACACAAGAGCAGTACTACTAAATTGTGCCTGCATGTGGTGCACTAAATGTTGTGCCCACTTTGAAAATTCACATGGTGAAGCCCTCCATGCAACAATATTTAGAGATAGGGCTTTTGTGGAAGTAATTGCAACTAAATAAGGTAAAGATGTGGCCTGGTCCAGTTGAGTGAGTGCCCTTCCCACCAGAGGTTTGATCATTCCCTCCGCTCCCTCCATATATACATACAGAAATGTTACAAGAATAATTTAGAAAGCCCCTGTTTATCTTTTATCTAAATTTACTGCTTAGTTTTCTATATTTTTTATGATTTTTATCCCATATGCATATGCATTTATTTTTCCTAGGTCATATGAACAGGTTATATACATTTTGTCTTTTATCCTCTTTATGCTTCAATGATATTTTCTTTCAATATGACTGCAGTTTAGTAACTAAATTCAGCAAAACATTGATATAATACCATAACCTGTAGTCTATTTTCCAGTTTTGTCAATTGGTCTAATGTTTTTTGTTGTACTTTAATCTCAACTATTTAGTGTCATTAGCTTTGGCACAGTTCCTCTAGTTTATCTGTTATGAGCCTGACCCTTTTAAAGAAGTCACTTTGATTATTTTGTTGTACAATGTTCCTTAATTTGAAATTATCTAACACTTATGGTTTCTTTTTTTTGGTAGGCAGCAGGCACCACTGAGCTAAATCCCCAGCCCCAGTCTAACACTTATGATTGGGTTAGGTTGTGAATACATCTGTATACTACATAAGTGATGTTGTGTCCTTTCTAATATATCACATCCTAGAGGAAGCATTATCTGTCTCTCAGGAAGTTAGTTTTGATCTCATTGTAGTAGGTTTTCTCTGTATATTGTTAATATCTTACCACTTGAAGATGATAAACTATCTGTGAGGGGACATTGAGACCATATATATAACCTCTTTGTTGTGCTCTTATATTTAGTAACTGCTGATGTTTGCCCTAACTGGCCGATACTATAATGGTTAAAAGTGGTGATTTACTTTCATATTTAGATGATAGCGTTCTAATGTATGGAGGAATTGTCTTTCCCTATTTTTTCTAATTTGTTATCAGCACAAAATTATAGGTTCCTATTTTACTTAGTGAATTTGTAAACTACTACTCTCCATATTTGATCCTTAAATTATCCCAGTCTTGGCCAATAGGAGCTCCTGTATTCCTTTGTCCTTTAGATATACTTGTTTGATGTTTCGGAGTACTTCCCTTCTGGCGCAGCAAACTGTTCCTGGCTCATCTTTGCACTTTTCCAGCCTCAGTTCTGGAATCGGCCATTTCTTTGAGGATCTGCTATTTCTTTTAGATTTTGGAAGCTGGATCTCAGGAATCAATTTTAGAAACTGGATCTGGGCTGAAGTTGTATTCATTGATACCAGGGTGTAAACTCTTTGTAGACTTTTAATAAACAAAGCTGAACTCTGTGTGCGTGTATGTGTTTAGAAATACAGTATCTTCAATTCCAAATCAACCTCGCTAAGATTCTTTACCTTTCCTCATTCCATTCAAAAAACAAAAATCTGCTCGTTATAATAGCGTATGCTTGTAATCCTAGCTACTGTGGAGATTGAGGCAGGACAGTGGCAAATACAAGGCCATCCTGGGTATCTAGCAAGATCCTGACTCAAAATAGAAAATATAAGAAGGTTGGGAATATAGCTCAGTATGAAACCCTGGGACCAATTCCCATTAATGGGGGGAAAAGAACCCAACTATCTTCTCTGGTTAAGAATATTGTCTACCTGCATAATCACATCTCCTCATTTGCTTAGTCCTACAATATACATAAAATAATTCCAAAATCATCATCCTTAATCCCTGTGAGGAACAAGGTAAATATGCAAAAGTTACCCTGCTTGGTTTTCTCTTATCTTTGCAATGTGGTTGTATTAATTCATATCAAATACAGTTGGCCTCATTTGCATTCAGTTTTAGCTCCCTCTGATTGTTGATTCAATTTTTTGACTGTGTAGAAATCTACACATCAAAGACAAAAGCATAGTGAAATCCTTAATGAAGTTTCTTCCCTAGTTTTTCATCCTGTTTTCCTCCATTCTTTTCAGGTAACCATTTTTCTTGTTTTCTAATTCACCATTCTGACTTTTCTTTTGTAAAAGTAAGTAGTTCCTTCTCACTGAATGAGTAGCAGGGCTGGGGATTTAGCTTAGTGGTTCCAGCGCCTGCCTCACAAGCAAAAGGGACCGGAGTTCAATCCC